TTCATCCTCATGCTCCACTTTTAAGACTTCCTTTACACAGCATTTACAGCTCACATCACGCAATGTAATGGGAAAGTTTCATCATTAAAAATAAATGAGAGGTTTACATGCCCTTTGCTTGACAATTTAAGATTTCAGGAACTCTTGAAATTATGGTGGGTTTTAAAATCCCTAGTGCAGCAACTCAAGCCACTATAACAACACGTTCTTTTTCTACTTCCAAAAGTAATCATCGGCCAGTAACCAAGTATTCCATCTATGGGAACATCTGGTTTTAAAAAAAAAAATTGTAGAGGGAAGGAGGTGGGGGGGAGACGGGACTGGCCAGGACAGGGCAGACTTGGCTCATTTTCCTCCCTTCAACTCTCCCTCTGCTCTCCCTAATTGAATTCAGCTTCTCCATTTGCAGAAGCACAATAGAGACCATTCATGAGAATCCACAGCCTAGCCAGGGAAGAGATCAAGTGGCAGCTTTCAGCTCAGTTCAGCTCTTAGCCGTTCCTCAGAAGTACTCATTCCACCGGTTCAAGGGATGATGGTGGAGGAAGGGGGGACCCACGAGGTGGAGGAAGTTGCTGAGAGAAAGAAGGGGGCTCCACTAGGCCCAAGTGAAGGAAACTGAAGCTGTGTGCTACGCATCTCCAAAGTGGGGGGACGGCAGAAGAAGTATGATGGGTCATCGTTTCAGAGACAGGAAGGGTACAATATAAAGCAGCAAGGCCAGATGCATACATAGAAAGGATGAAAATTAGGTCTCTGAGCACATCTAGGCCTCAGATGCCCCACCCCTCTACTCTTTTACATGTTCTGGAAACCCAAGTTTCATATATGCTTAACTTTAGGATCACACTTGGACAAAATAGGTGAATTCCAATTCACAGTCACCTTGTATATCAGGCAGGGATGGTGAATTCCAGATGTTCCTGGTCTACAACTCCCATAATCTCATTATTCGCATGCCGGCTGGGGCTGATGGGAAGTAGAGTACCAACATCTGGAAGGTTTGCCACCCGTGATACAGTGGGAAACTCAGATATTCCAGGGCCTCATTGACTAGCCCCTCCAACATCATGCGGCATTTGCAATACCACAGAATGCCAGGATCTTCATTCACATCAACACATTTACTCTGGATTAAGAGGCGACTCTCGTTTGCTGGGAAACAGCCCGATTTTAAAGCAGCTCCTCCAGGCACCCCTGAGTCTTTCGTTACGATTGCTGTAAGAGCTGCCTGCGAGCTACAAATCTCAGATATTAATGAAATCCTTTGCTGGGCTGGACATATGGTACATGGCAGCATTGTGGAAATCCGAGTGCCCAGCACGACAGCTCTGAGGAGAAACAGTTTGCAGTGGCCGCTGACAGAGCTACAGAACACCCAGCTGTTCTGCAGCCTTCTGTTGGGCGCTGGGTGGGTACAAACCATGTCTCATGCCCTCTTATGTCAGGGGCCTATGATCAGTCCTGGAGAAATTTGCACCTAGCTGTATTAGCGGCATGGACACATCACCATGGCAGCAATTCCTCTGCCTGCCTAATTGCACCAAGGGTGCCCCGGCCACTTGGCCAGGGTTCTGTTTCTAAGGAGAGGACAAAGGAGCCATTTTGTTATAGCCTGGCAGGGTTGCCAACTCCTGTCAGCCTCAGAACTGCTAGTGCCTGTTGCTATTGGCAACAGGGCAAGGGGAAGAAAGGCCTGGCTGCAACAAGCTGAATGTGTCCCAGTCCTGACTTTTGGGGGGCAGATGTCTGCCTGCTTCTCCCTTACTAGTACCCAGCTGGTGCCTCTGATCACCACCTCATTCTCCAGAAGGAGGTAGAGGGATCAGACACTAGATTTGCCTCAGGAAGGTTGGCTGTCTAGTAAGGACTGAGGACATGGGTAGTTTCTTTGCTCAGAGAATTCACTCTGCACTTTGTCAAGGGGCGATGTACAGTGGTACCTCTGGTTACGTACTTAGTTCATTCTGGAGGTCCGTTCTTAACCTGAAATTGTTCTTAACCTGAAGCACTACTTTAGCTAATGGGGCCTCCTGCTGCCACCGTAGCACAATTTCTGTTCTCATCCTGAAGCAAAGTTCTTAACCCGAGGTACTATTTCTGGGTTAGCGGAGTCTGTAACCTGAAGCGTATGTAACCTGAGGTACCACTGTATTTTCCTTCCTGCTTTGCAAAACTCCTCCCATATTCACAGTCACAAACTTGAAGAGAAGAGGGTAAGCAGAGCACATTGGTAAAGGCCTGGGCAATGTGGAAACAGCAGGCTTTAAAAAACAAGCAAAACCTTTTTAATAGGGTGCTCCTACTTCACCCCACTGACAGGACAACAACCCCCCATTTAAATCTCAAGATAGGAGCCTGACATGCATTTGTTTGTGGCCCATAAATTCTTTTAACAGCCCTCACTTTCCCACCCACCTCTTTCACTGTCATAGAGAAATAAATTGCATCTTTTAATTTGGATTTGGTATCACCACCACACACACAAGTGTGGCAGCTGCCAGCTCTTGAAATGGGAAACTCTAATATCTGTACAAGGCCTAGGGTGGAGCCCTGTGGTTGGGAAATAACTGTGGTGGATCCCAGCCCAACAGCTATCAAGTTTGCAAAAACAAGGAAGGAGAAGAAAACCATCATTGCCATTTGTTTTTCTGATGATTGGCACCAGAAGAAGAAAAGGCTGGTTTTTGTTGGTCCATTGTAGATCCTAGTGTGTATGGGCCCCACTCTAGCAAATTTTCTGTGTTCTTTCATTTTAGATGGATATCCGCCACCTTCTGCCACCTAGCTTTCTGAGAACTCGTTTCTCCCCCACCCCCGGCCTCTTTCACCCCATTTTTCTGATAAACCGTTTCTGATCCTGGAATCCCTGGTACTTCTAGCAGCAAATGTAATCAGAATCTTGTCATTTCTGACAGCTCCGTGAAGTGAAAGATCTTGTACAGAGGCCTCCTGTGGACAAAGCGACCTGACAATGTCGTTTTGTCACATGGCAGCATCTCTTGTGCTGCGCGCACTTCTTGCAAAGCCCATGTTTTCTCAGTGATTCTGGCTCTGTATTCACCATATATTTAAAGTGCATTCTAAGCATACGATTTCCGCAAATAATCCTGGGAGCCGTAGTTTGTTAAGGAGGCTGGGAGCTGTAGATCTCTGAGGGGTTTAACTATATTTTGTAGGATTCTTTGGAGTAAGCCATGTGCATGTATGTATGTATGTATGGCATACACATACAGGAAATTGGAGCCCTTCTAAACCTCTCACCATTCCAATAAGTCTTGGTCTATGCTGGAGGGGCTCCATACCTGTCTGACACTGTATTGTTTTTAAGATTTGTTTGGATGGAAGCCGCCCAGAGTGCTGGGGAAACCCAGCCAGATGGGCAGGGTATAAATAATAAATTATTATTATTATTATTATTATTATTATTATTATTATTATTATTCTCTCTGCAGCTGCAGTCGCTCAACAACCTTAGTACTCCTCGATCTAGTTCAACCAAAAATGTCTCCACTGCCAGCCTTTCCGTTTGGCTCACCTGCGAGTCAGAGATTTCCGAGGGCTTCTCCGTGAGGCTGCTGCTCTCCGCTGGGATGAGGTCGTTGTATTTGGTGACGTCCTCATCCGAGTAGTGCAGGGAGCCGGGGCTGGGTCTTGGCGGGGACCTCGGGAGAGACATGGAAGCTCTGAGATTTCGTTCAGAAAGGGAAAGTGTTTAGCTCAGGAGAGCAGAATTGCCCTTCCCAAATTCGGTCCCTCTCCCCGCACCAAATCCTTTCTGCGACTGTACTGGCACAGCCTCTGGTACCTTGTGTAGATTCCGTTCTTCCTGCAGAAGGAATTTTTCACGGACAGTCGCCGGTTGTTCAGCTCCAGAGCAGGAAAGCTGCTCTCGTCCAGGCTAACCATCTCACCGTGGCCAAGGGCATTTGACTTGGAGTTGCTTCCTAGGGGTGAGGGGGAAGCCAAGGGGACAGAAGATGTCATCATCTTAGGATTCCTTAGCGGCTAAGAGACAGCGGCCAAATTCTCGCCCCAGAGAGAACAAAGCTCAATGGCTTGTTTCAAGCTTCCTGACTTTATTTAGGGGGTGCCATTCAAGGATTTAAAAATGATGGCGTGGAAACGAAAAGGGGGCACAAAAATCCTTTGGATGAGTAAGTGGTGTGGCGTGCCCAGCTTCCACCTCTATAAACTGCTAGGTACAGCCTTTTGAGGCTATGCCAAGTACATCAAAGGCACAGGTTATTAGGTGTTCCTGTAAGGGTAATTTTAGGGGAGCAAAGCTTACTCTCCCACATTGTGTACACACACACACACACACACACACACACACACACACACACACACTTTAAGCACATCTTGTACTGTACCTCTGGGAAAATCCACATACTGTTCCTTGACTATCTTCCTCTTTGAGATCTTCCGTGGGAACAGTACAGGAGCTAAAGTGAGTTAAGAATTTGCTTGAACTGAAGAAGCAGTTCATATGCTCTTGGTTTCAAGCGCTGAGAAGAGCTTTCTAAGAGGTTAGTTGCAGAGAGGCTGCAGAGCAGAGGGGAAGCACCCTCTGGGCTGGGCCTTTGGCCAGGAGACCAAGGGCTGCTCCCCCCCCCTGCCTCCCTGGAAGAACATCATGGAAACAAGAATCCATGGCTCCATCCATCAGCCAGAGAAGGAGCCTCTAGCAAGAGCTTGCTGCATCCCTCCCTGCCAGAATGAACACATGTAAGAACTTTGTAGCCAAGAACTTGTGCCTGTGTTTGTTTTACCCCTCCTCCCTCCTCAATCGCCTTTCCTTTCCTGAGCTTGAGGGCAGGGAGCATCTTACTGTAAGCTGATGTGACAGCCTTTTTCAGCTGAAGAGCAGGGTTAAAATAAAGAAATAAATGCATTCTTCCCACCCAAGCAAAAGAGCAAAAGTCACTTTCTGCCTTTGCCACATACCCTCCCAGTCCTCTCTGAAGGCCTCTGGGGTGGACCATACATAGGTGGGCAGAGATAATAGCTCAGTGGAAAAGCTTATGCTTTGCATGCATAACTTCCCAGGTTCAATTCCTGGCAACTCCTGACAACAAGGGCTAAAATGCTCCAGCCTGTGACCTCAGAGAGCCCCTGTCAGTCAAGAGTAGATGATATTTTGGACACATGGCCCAGCATGTTAAAAATGACTTCGTATATCTCTAAGGCTGTAGATTAAGGGCCAATTCGAAACATCAGTTTTTCTACATAGTTCTGCAAGGTTGTGGTGGGGAGTGGGGGACCCCTCGTGAGCACCAAATTGCATGAAAATGGTTTTTGCCACATGCAGATGTGTTTGAAAACTGCTACACACGTGATGACACAGAAGCTTCTTTCCCTGCAGCTGTGTGCACCCATACAAGGAAAGTGACTTGCAAACAATCGTTGCAAGCCGTTGTTCCCAAAGATGCCACCCCACACAAACTCCACTTCTCCCATCCATTTCGCTTATTTAAGAGGAAAGCTCAGATTTTCCTCACAATTAGAGCAAAGCAAACATAGTCGCGTTCTCTTGCCCTGGTGACCTCTGCAGTTGCCTCTGGCAGTGGCTGGGACACGAAGCCATTTATTTTAAGTGTCAGCTTGGAGTGGCGTCAACAAGGTCACCGACTCCACCCCCCACCCCACCCCCAACATACCACAAGCAGGCACTAGAGAGGGGGATTCTTAGGGTAAGTCCCAGCCAGCTGAAGAACAATTAAAGCTAGGTTTTGCATTTAAGATTCCCTCACCCTGCTCAAGTGACGGAGGGAGCTGGTTCAATTTTAATTGAGTAATTGGAAATCAGGAGTCTTAGCTTAGACTGGGGTAGTTGGTGATGTGATGCCCTCCAGATGTTGTTGGACTCTAGTTCTCATAATCCCTGGGCTTTGGTCATGCTAGCTGGGATAGTGACCAGGGCATGGAAGGAGAACAAAAGAATACAACATCCAAGAAGAGGTGGGTGGGAATTCTCATGGGTGGGCCATTGGCTTGGGGAAGAGGTTTGTAGCTAGGATGCTGCAAGCAGGAGTATCATCTCCTGGTTGGAGCTAAGAAGGCCACAAGGAGCAAATCTAAGGTTGTTGGACCAGTGGAATGTACGGTGCCGCTTCCTGCTACCTACTCACTACTGTGCTCCACATGGGATACAGCTTCAAAGCTGCTACTGAAATCTCTCCACCGTGTTTGTATTCAATACTCTCAAAGGAAGGAGCCTTAATGAGGGGGAAAGGACGTCTCAATACGATGTTGTCATCACCCACCTGAGTCTGACTTCTTGGCATACTTCTTGCTCTGCCCTCGGATGATGAGGACAAAGACCAGCAGGAGGATGAAGATGAGTCCCACCAGAGCAATGACCACCAGGAACCACCACTCCTCATAGAAAGGATTGGCTTTCTGGGCTGCAAAACAGCAGGCAGCACGAAGCAATCAGACACCCTTTCCCTGAAAGGCCACCCACACACATTGTTTCCTATAGCCTCTGCTCAGGGCTTAGTGACCCTGACCTGAGGGAGTGTTTGACTTTCACCTCTGTTACCTGAAACCGATGGGGAGGGAGAGCTGGGTGTCCCATAGCCGTAGTCATTGACAGCAATGACCCGGAAGTCGTAGCTGACACCTTGCTTCAATATGTCCATGCTGAAGGTGTATGAGGTCACTTCCTTGGGAATGTCTTTGATGAGAATGTCCCAGAGCCCCTCATCTAGAAGAGAGAGAGAGAGAAAAAACCAAGTGAATTTGCAACAGGAAATGCATGTGTGTGTCTACGCACCTATAAATTCATTGCAAACACACACACACACACACACACACAGAGCATGTGGAGATAATTCATATCCACCGCCCTGGGAAGTGAATGAGGGGTCCCATAATGCTGAATATATACAGAAAACCCTTGCTTCCTCTCCCTAAAAATGATAATAATTGATACAACCCATTTTCAGACATTTGTGAAGTTCACATAATTATTTGCTATGTTAGCATGATGTCCATGCCAGTGATCCTTAATTTTTTATACGTTTGAATAAAGCATGGTCAAATGAAACTCAAGCTGCTCATACAAAATGTATTTGCAGATATTTGACTGCATGTATAAGGTTATTAAGTAACGCAGAAGAAACTCCAGCTCTGAAGAGATGCTGACTGACAGAAGAAGGGGTTCTGAAAATGTCCTTGTTCTTTAAAAGGTATGCCGGGTACATAACTGTCCAGGAAGCTTCGGCTTTAATTAGTTCTACATATCTGATGATGGAGCCAACCCAGAAGGTGGGCTAAATTGACTCTTGAGACATTATAATCCCTAAGGCTCTCTGATTCAGAGAGGAGTGGCAAAGACATATTGCTGAACAGTATGCTCAAGACAACAGCAGGTCACAGTGCTGGAGGACTCTTGGGTAGACCTGAAGCCAGTGTAGTCCTAAAGGAAAGACCAGCCTTGTCAGTAATAGCATTAACATCAATTGAATGAGCTAAAATATTTTTGGAACCTTAAATTGAGGGGGGGGGTGTCACAAAAGACCTTTCATTTGTGGCACATCATGGTAATTCGGCAGAAATAGGCAGCCCCCTCTCAGCATCAAAATCATATGTAGACCAAGGCTATATTGCCGGCGTCCAAGCTGGCAAAGAACAGGTGAAGACAAAGCAATCTCTACGTGCCCCAGGACTCTCAGAAGAACAATGGGAGAAGCCCACAGGAAGGCTAACAGAGTGGTGATGAGGTTTTTCTGTGCACATTGTGGCCAAATAAAATGTCCTTACAGTGGTACCTTGGGTTACATACACTTCAGGTTACATACGCTTCGGGTTACAGACTCCGCTAACCCAGAAATAGTACCTTGGGTTAAGAACTTTGCTTCAGGATGAGAACAGAAATCGCGCGGCGGCGGCGGCAGCGCAGCAGCAGCGAGGGGCCCCATTAGCTAAAGTGGTGCTTCAGGTTAAGAACGGTTTCAGGTTAAGAACGGACCTCCGGAACAAATTAAGTACTTAACCGGAGATACCACTGTACTTGCTTCACACGACTCTGGGCTCCTTGGGTGATCTGAATTACTACAGACACTCTCAACCTGACCCACCATCCCTGCCCCGGAAATGCCATTGTGAGTCACTGCCTCCCTCCTCAAGGCAAGAGATTCTGCTCCTGCACTATCTGAACCAGGAGTAGCTTCATTGACCCTGTTAACTCGCTGCAGAGATGGTGCAGAATGGTCTTTCCTAAAGGCAGAGGGTGACTTGGAGGAGACTAGGTCAGGTTGGTAATTAATCCGAAGAGACAATGGGAAGCCTCCTCAGTGGGTGGGTACTTCGGGTTCGCAGAACATTTATTTCTCATGGCACATTTAACAGCTCTTTTGTGCCACATTAGCATACTGTACTCAGCATGCAGTTTGGCCGATTACTTAATTAGGACGTCTCTGGGTCCTAACACCAGCTACAAGGGACTGGATATCCAAGCTCTCACATTCCAGTGTGCAAACCTCAGGTGAGTCGGGTCTCCCAACTTGTATGTGTCCATTTCCTCGCGTGTCCAAGAGGTTGTTTATGATGGTGGATTACAACCTGCTTCGCTCAATGCAGGCAAATTGCTTGCTTCTAACGTGTAAGCTCCTTTAGGGATTGACTCGAGGGGGAGAGTCTCCATCCCCAAGAGGAAGCTTGTGGCTCGTGAAACATTCTGCCTGCTCCCGTCTCCCTCTGGGGAATGGGGAGGATGATTGATGGACCTGAAGCCAAGAGCAGGGCAGATGCAAGGGGATAAATCACTCCAGTGCTTTGAAATGGACTCTGGCTTGCTTTTTAATGAGGCTGCTGTGAGTAAAAGGGAGAGAGGACAGGGAAGAGCAGATGGCGTGGCACGGGGCCTGTTAATTGCCACGAAGGCTCGTGCTGAAAGACTCCTGCTCCTACCGTGCAGTGCTCTTTGAGTTCTACCTCGCTAGGTGACATCCATTCCAGGCACCATCAGATGCGGCCAGGACAGGTGAATGTCTTATGGGTGCTAAATCAACTGGCAGGCAGGTACCCTGCATTTCTTGGCTGTACTCATGCAGGAAACACCAGCTATGGTCTCTGAAGGCAGGCGGTTCTTACTCTCGCAGTCCCTCAATGCAACCCTTTTCCCTCTTCACCATGGCACCTCCCTTCCCTTTCCAAGCTACAACTGGATCAGCCATAGGTGTCAACGTTTCCCATTTTTAAAGGGAGATTCCCTTATTCCAAATAGGATTCCTCACAAGAAAAGGGAAAAGTTGACAGCTATGGGATCAGCCTTCAATATATGCCAGAATAATAAAGAGAAAATGGGTGGCATTCAACTAAAGCTTACTCAGAGAAGACCCAGTGAAATCAATGGACCTAACTTAGTCACGGTCATTAGTTTCAATGGGTCTGCACTGAATAAGACTTAGTTGGATACCACCTGATGCCTCTGAACATTTGCAGAGCGCAGTTACCAGTGGGTAAGCACAATCTCTTGGTTATCTGGGACCAGGAGAGAGAACTTGCATAACAGAAGCGCTGACTTTCTGGCAGGCTGATGCTTTGGGCACATCTTGGTTTGGAAACGAAGCCTCGTCTTTTGGGATCATGATCCCAAAAGGCCCACAGGACAGAAGCAGCCATATCAGGAACTGCTCTTAAAGTTCCAACTTTAGGACTGCTAATGGCTGAGTCAGCCAAGGGGGATGTGGAGTGAGCGCAGAGCTGGTACCTGAAGGACGCGCCTCAATCACGTATCTGGTGATAGGACCTTTCCCAGGGTCACCGCTTGACCAGTGGATTGTGATAGCCGAGCCGTACCTGGAGATGAAGGGCTCACCTGGAGGACCTGGAGCACCTGGGAACCAAGAAAGACATTTTCAGTACACGAAATGGGCTGCGAGACTGTGGAGAAAGTAACCAAGGAATCATTTCTTTCCTTTTTTCCTGCTAAATACAAGCCCTAGGCAAAAAAAGCTGCTAATCACATCTAACCATGTCTATTCCTCAAAGGGTGGGTTTGTAGATGCTTTCAACAGAGGTCCAGTTTGTTGATTCCATGTGGCTTTAAATAGTACATCAGT